AGACCCTGAAACCACCAGGGGTCTCCAAAAAGGCCTCCAGGTTGTAGTCGGAACGGTCAGCAGGCCCTCGGATAGGCCAAACAAGCCGCTCGGCCGTCGCGGCCACCAGGGCTGCCACCACCGGGGGGCCGTCGAGGCTGCCCGAAGAGCCCTCCGAAGGCCCCAAACCGCCGGGAAGGCCCCAAACCGCCGGGAAGGCTGAAAGCCATCGTTGGAGGGGCCGCCTGAAGGGGCCGTCGAAGCTGCCTCCAAAGTTCTTAACCAGGCCGCCGCAGCCACCGAGGAGGCCACCAAGTCCAAACGGGCCTCTAAAGATCGTCGTTTAGGGCATCTCCAAGTCCGAAGGGGCCAACCTTGGCAATTTTAAAATGGGTGGACCCGCTCCTAGAATTCCCCAACTAGCATGGCTGGCTGGGGAATTCTGGGAGTTGAAGTCCATCCATCTTAAAGCTGCCAAGATTGTGAAACACTTCAGTACTGATTTAAAAAAATAAAGGTTGCCTTTCTCTGATCTGTTCATGATTGTTCATGGAAAGCTTAGTGTGAGCTATATTGTTAACCCATCTCCTCATCTGTTGTAGGATAAGCATTCTGGAAAGAACAAAGATCTTCCCACCATCCAGCGTCTAAAACACTTCATCCGGGAATGTGGTGCGTGGCGGAATTACAAAAAGCTCCTGGCAGATTGCCACTCTGACAAAGCTCAGATAGAGGTTCTCAAAGAACAGCTGAAAGGTCTTGGCATGAAAGGTCAGTGGCAGGTGATGTAAGGCAGAGCCAGGCACCAGGTTAGAAACTGGGAGATGATGAGTTCTAGTCCCACCTTAGGCATGAAAGCCAGCTGGGTGACTTTGGACCAATCACCAGGACACAGTGGGTTCTAGTCCCGCCTTAGGGATAAAAGCCGGTTGAGTGGCTTTGGCCAATCACCAGAAAATGGTGAGTACTAGTCCTATCTTAGGCATGAAAGCCAGCTGGGTGACTTGGGCCAATCACTAGGAGACAATGGGTTCTAGTGCCGCCTTAGGCATGAAAGCCAGCTGGGTGACTTTTAGCCAGTCACTGACTCTCAGCCAACTCACCTCCCAGGGTTGTGGTGGGGGGAAATACAATAGGAGGATGAAGGAGTATTAGGTATGTTTGCTGCCTTGAATTATTTATAAAAATAATAAAGGTGGGATAAAATAAATAATGTAATTCAACAGATATTATTAGATTGAGCTATGTGAATCTCTTTCTGGGGAGCTGTCTAAGAAAACGTACTAAAATCACATATGGCTAAGCTATTGTTTCTTTTAATGTTGGCTTGTGGAACAGGTTACAGCTCACTGAGTTGCCATGGCACACTAAGCCATAAATGCATAGATGGAAACCCTCCTGGCTGGCTAACAAAATAGACTGAGCTGTTAGCAAAGAAATTATATTTCTGCTAAGGTAATTTGGATCTGAATCCAAATGTAATTTTTTCAAATTACGTATTAGAGCGCCCCGACCGATTTTCAGTACAGGTAGTCCTCAACTTAACAATCATTTAGCAAGTATTCGAAGTTACAACGGGACTGAAAATGTGGTTCTCACACTTAACAACTGATGCAGCATCCCCACAATCACATGATCAAATTTCACCTGCTTACCAAGTGGTATGTATTTATGACAGTTGTAGCACTCTGGGACCATGTAATTGCCATTTGCAGCCTTCCCAGCCAGCCTCCAACAAGCAAAATAAGGTAGCTGGATTCACTTAATGGCCATATGATTCACTTAACAACATGGCAAGAAAAATAATAAAATTGGGTCTAATTCATTTAACTGTCTTGCTTAGCACCTGGTCTCACTTGTCCTAAATTGAGGACTACCACGACTTATTTTCAGGATCAATAAATTAACTGCTAATATTAGGGAGTTTTATGGAAAACACCCTATGCAGGTAGTCCTCGTCTTACCATCACAATTGAGCCCAAAAATTTCTGTTGTTAAGTGAGTTTTGCCCCATTTTACGATTTTTCTTGCCAGAGTTGTTAAGTGAATCACTGCAGTTGATAAGTGAGTAACCCGGTTAAGCGAATCTAGCTTCCCCATTGACTCTGCTTGTCAGAAGGTTGCAAAAGGTGATCACATGACCTCGGGACACAGCAATGGTCGTAACTATGAGTCAGTTGCCACGCACTTGAATTTTGATCACGTGATTATAGGAATGCTACTAGGGTCGTAACTCTGAAAAACGGTCGTAAGTCACATTTTTCAGTCCCGAAATGAACTGTTGTAAGTCGAGGACTACCTGAACTGCAGATAGCCATGTCTGTATTCATAGCTTGCTGATTTCACGAGGTATTTCCTGAGCTGCTCTCCACAGTTTTAAAACACGGATTCTTAGTTCTTAAACATTTCAGGTGCAGTGGCTGGCCAGTCTGTCAGACAGTTTTTCCCCTGGACTGCAAGGCGATCAAACCAGTCAGTCCTAGAGGGGATCAACCCTGACTGCTCTTTAGAAGGCCAGATCCTGAAGTTGAAACTCAAGTACTTTGGCCACCTAATGAGAAGGAAGGACTCACTGGAGAAGAGCCTAATGCTGGGAAAGATTGAGGGCAATAGAAGAAGGGGACGACAGAGAATGAGGGGGCTGGATGGAGTCACTGCAGCAGTAGGTGTGAACTTAAAGGGACTCCAGAAGATGGTAGAGGACAGGAAGGCCTGGAGGAATGTTGGGTCGGACACGACTTCGCAACTAACAACAACAATAAAGGAATGCTGGGGATTGAACATGGGAACCTATGGAAGCAGACCTTGTGTTCTACCTCTTCTCCATCAGGGAGCCAGTATCTAATCTCTATAGGGCAAGGTCTAGAGAATCAGGAGTTTACAGATAGTCCTCGACTTATAACAATAGCAATAGCACATAAGACTAATATACCGCTTCACAGTGCTTTACAGCTCTCTCTAAGCGGTTTTACAGAGTCAGCCTATTGGCCCCATCTTACTGACCTCGGAAGGATGGAAGGTTGAGTCTGCTGGCAGCCGGGAGTCAGCAGAAGTAGCCTGCACGTTACTGCATTCTAACCACTGGGCCACATGACTTATGACCAAAATTCAGCCTGAAATTGTAATCATAAGTCATGCTGGCTAATAAGTGGTCATCGTTTAATAACATAGTGACTGTGCCCTATTTTATTATCTTTTTTATAGCGGTTGTTAAGCAAAACTGCAATCATTAAGTGAACCTATTATCCACAATTGGGGGGTGTTTTTGCTGTAAATCATGGCTGCATGACCATGAGATGCTGCAAACCACCATAAACATGGGTTGCTGAACACCCAAAATACAATCATGTGACTGAGGGAAAGTTGTTGGAATGTCGAATCCGGGTTGTATCTCTTTGGGGGGTCTGTCATAACTTCAAACACTCACTAAGCAACCAGTCATAAGTCAAGGACCATCCAGATTTGGAGGCTTGCAAGATTGATGTCAGCCCATCATGGTAGACCCGATCAGGAAACAGACTCTGCAGAAAGAGTAGAATTTTTAGCGGGGTTTTAAAAAACAATTTTAAATTAACAAGGCCAAATCTAATATTTCATTTTAACTATGTTTTTAATGATAATACTGGGGTATTTTTGTATTTGTTTTTTATCAGGCTGTCAGCCGCCCTGAGTCCGCAAGGAGAAGGGCGGGGTATAAATCCAATAAATAATAAATAAATAAACAAACAAACAAACAAACAAACAAACAAACAAATAAATAAATAAATAAATAAATAAATAAATTGTACTTTATTGAGGTAGGCTAAGCTAGCAGAATCTAGCAAGCCCAGTTGTGCTTTACCTCCTTACCCCTTGTATCTTGGTGCTTGCCCAAGGAGCTTGCTTAAGCTTCTTCCAGGTAGTCCTCAAGTTACGACCACAATTGAGCCCAAATTCATGTTGCTAAGTAAACATTTGTTAAGTGTGTTTTGCCCCATTTTACGACTTTTCTTGCCACAGTTGTTCAGTTAATCATTGCAAGTTAGTAACGTGGTTGTTAAATTAATCTGGCTTGCCCCATTGACTTTGCTTGCCAGAAGGTCATAAAAGCTGATTACGAGACCCCAGGACACTGCAACCATCGTAAATATGAACCAGTTGCCAAGCATCTGAATTTTGATCATATGACCAAGGTTGTAAGTGTGAAAAACGGTCAGAAGTCACTTTTTTCAGTGCCGTTGTAAGTTTGAAGGGTCACTAAATGAACAATATGTATCTTGTTTCCCAGGGCTTGAGGACTGTTTCAGGCCTCTTTGCTTATATTTATTTTATTTATTTGTATTCTGCCTTTATTAATTTTACAAATAACTGAAGGCGGCAAAAATATCCAGCATACCATCCTCTTCCTATTTTCCCCACAACAACAGTCCTTTGGGGTGGGTTGGACTGAAAGAGAGTGACTGGCCTAAGGTCACCCAACTGGCTTTCATGGCTAAGGCGGGCCTTGAACTCACAGTCTCCTGCTTTCTAGCCCAGTGCCTTAACCATTAGACCAAACTGGCTCTATAATTTGTGTGTATATGTGTGTCTGCATGCACACCTTTGAGTCACTGTTGACTCCTGGTGACTGCCTGCAGTTTTCTTGGAAAATTTTCCAAAGTGGTTTGCCATTGCCTCCTTCCTAAAGCTGAGAGAGAATGACTGGTGCAAGGTAGCCCAGCTGTCTCTGTGCCTAAGGTGGGACTAGAACTCACAGTCTCCCAGTTTCTAGCCTTACATCTGCTACGCAAACTAGAGTTTCCCCATTTATCAGGAGAGGGGATGTTTGTGACTGGGCCATTTTGTAACCTTCTTTTCTTACTGCTCTGTGTCAGTGAACAACTATTGCATTTTTTGCCTACTTAGCAGTCTTTAAAACTCTTGGACTTCTGTTAGCAGCTCTCCTGTTTCTTTGGGCTTTCAATTTTGGGTCCCAGAATGGCAGCCATTTCAGAATATTGCATATCCACGTTTATTGACTCTTATTTTCTGTTTTCTTTCCTCAGGAACTCCATCTCTAGCCAAGTGCAAAGCAATAAAAAAGAAGCGGGAAGATGAAGCCGAAATGGCTTCTCTTGATATCAACAATATTATTGCTTCAGAAGGTAAGGTGGCTGTGGAGGGGAGGAACTGGCTAATATAAAAATCCAGGTGCTTCATTAGGATGCTGGAAACTTTCGGGAACAAACTTTGGGAAGACCCCTCCCATAAAATGGCAGCCCAGAGAAATGGTGACCAGTACAATTCCATTCACAATCCAAATACATTGATTGGGTTCTGTTTTTATGCAGAGATCAAGGCGCTTGTTTTGTTCTTTTTTTTAATTTCTTAACTCCAAAGGTGCAAATCATCCCATTTTTGCTTAATTATGCTAATGTTATTGAGACCCTGTTTCTAAAAGGTCCCCTTTTATTAAACCTTTCTCAGAGGAATGACTCTAGAAAGAGTGCAGAGAAGAGCAACAAAGATAATTAGGGGGCTGGAGGCTAAAACTTACAAGGAACAGTTGATGGAATTGGGTATGTCTAGTTTAATGAAGAGAAGGACGAGTGGGGACAAAATAGCAGTGTTCCAATGTCTCAGGGGCTGCCACATAGAAGAGGGAGTCAAGCTATTCTCCAAAGCACCTGGAGGCAGGATGGAAATGGATGGAAACTAATCAAAGAGCGAAGCAACTTAGAACTAAGGAGAAATTTCCTAACAGTTAGAACAATTAACCAGTGGAATGAATTGCTTCAGAAGTTGTGAAACTGGAGAGGAAATCAAAAGAGCATGAGAAGTTTAAGGATGTTTTTTTTAGAGGGAACTATGTACAGGTAGTCCTTAATTTATGGCTACAATTAGGGATCAGAGCTTCCATTGCTAAGCAAGCTGATCGTTGGTGAGTTGCACCTGATTTTACAACCTTTTTTGCCTCAGATGTTGAGCGAATCATTGCAGTTGTTTTAAGTGAATCATATCGCTAAGTGCCCATTGATTTTGTTTGTCAGAAGCCAACCGGGAAGGTTGCAAATGGTGATCATGTGACCCTGAGATGCTGCAATTGTGGGGATGCTACAGTGTTTGTAAGTGCGAGGACCAGTCGTAAGTCAATTCTTTCAGTGCCGTTGTAACTTTGAACATTCACTAAATGGATAGTTTTAAATCAAGGACTATCTACTGGGTGTGGTGGAAAAAGAGGGTCAAAACGGAAGAGGACTGGAGGGTATAAGTGCAATAAGGTAAAGCACTAAGATAAGCGATGGGGAAGAACTTATTGGTGCCACTCCATTGGCTGACTAAAGGCTGACTGGACTGACCATTGAGTTTTTCTTTAACACTAATAATAAGCAGCATCTCCCACTATCAATAGTCCTTGACTTACAACCATTCGTTTAGTGACCGGTCGAAGTCCCAATGACACTAAAAAAAAGTGACTTATGACTATTTTTCACAGTTACGACCGTTGCGCCACCCCTGTGGTTACATGATCAAAATTCAGACCTTGGCAACTGGCATGTTTTTTTGATGATTGCAGCATCCCAGGGTCATGTGATCACCCTTTTGTGACTTTTAGACAAAGCAAAGTCCATGGGGAGGCCAGATTCACTTAACAACTGTGTTACTAACTTGACAACTGCAGTGATTCACTTAAACCACTGTGACAAGAAAGGTCGTAAAATGGGACAAAACTCACTTAACAACTGTCTTGCTTATTAACAGAAATTTTGGGCTCTGTTGTGGTCATAATTTGAGGACTACATGTCAGAAAGCAGCAGACAAGCTTAAAGGGAGACAGCCTATAGCTTTCTTCCCCTGGGGCCTTGTTACCGCCCCTCAGGATCCAGGCCACCGCCTCATTCTGCTACCTGGGAGGAATGCTGATTCTGCTGAGTGGACTTTGGATTGAGACTCTTCACATTGGGAGAGTGTGAGAGACTGTAGCCCAGATGCGCAGGAGGGAACGAGTGCAAAAGACGGAACAAAAGGGGGGGGTATTATATAGTTCGGGGGAGGGGGGAAGAGGGTGAAGAATACTGCTCCCTAATAGTTCCCAGAGTATGGATAGTTCTGGACTTAGAGCCACAATTGTGCCCAAAATTTCCCTTATTCAGGCATTAAGTGAGTTGTGCCTGATTTTACAATCTTTTTTCCCATTGTGGTAAAGTGAATCATCGCGTGAATCGTGCGATCTTTAAGCGGATCCGGCCTCCCCCCCCCCCTTTCATTTTGCTTTTTGGAAGCTGGCTGGGAATGGTGGTCACGACCCTGGGATAGGGCAACCGTCACAAATACACGCCGGTTGCCACGTGTCCGAATTTTGATTACGTGGCCCGTGGGGATGCTGAAACGGCTCTAAGCCTGAAAGCTGGTCCTAAGTCACTTTCTTCAGTGCCGTAGTAACTTTAAACGGTCACTAAATAAATGGCTGTAAATTGATGATTACCTGTATATGCTTCATGGGGCTAATAGCCTTTTTTAGTTTGGCAAGATTCCTCTCTTAGAGGTGAGGAACAATAAAGGAAACTGCTTAGAAGAACGTCAATCTCTCTTTCAAGGCCTGGTGGAGAGTGAGTGAGTCTAATCCAGAGACACCCACCAGACTCCGTGCAACAGAGCAGCAGTCCTCAACCCCCAGGCCGTGAACGGGCACCAGGCTGTGGCATGCTAGAAACCTGGGATGCAGGCAGCACACAAAACCACACACACACATACAGATCCTCAGAAAAGCCTCTCTCCACTGAAGCAGCCCCTGGTGCCCCAAAAGTTGGGGACCGCTGCAATAGAGGTGCCGGCCTAGCGCATCTGGAAAACGTTCCCCTTCTCTTCTCTCCATGCAGGCCGTCCAAAGCGTCGTAACGTCTGGAGCCTTTACAGTAAGCCCCAATACATACCCAGTTCTCCGAAGAAGCCAATTGATGGCCATCCCGTCACAGATTGGTCCCATCTTCAAGGAGTAATCAGTTCAGAAAGGGAAAGCAGTTGATTCTGTGGTGGAAGAGAGGCTGACATACATTGATTACACTGATCTTTTGGAAAAAGGGTTTAACTCACCAAACAGCCATGAAGGAACCTCTTTTATGCTTAAAGGGAGCTTTTATGCTCCCTTCTGCTCAGGATGCAAAGAAAATAAATTCCTGATACATTATCATTTATTATTATTATTATTATTATTATTGCACTTTCCCTGGGCAAAGGAAGATCAGAAGTACTTCAGTTGAAAGCAAATTTTCTGAGGATGGGCACAGAAAGAAATCAGTTTTTTTTTCTTTAATATCCCCAAGTTTTGTCACTGTGAGCATTCCCTCATTTTTGAACTATCTACATTGTGATCTCTTCCCACAAGCGTAGACGTTCCTCAGCAGGAATATACAAAGCTACGGTATGAATTGGGACTTGTTTTATTTTCATTTCATGTAAAAATTGAGAGTATTATTTCCTTATATACATTTATGAGGCATTCCTCCTGTTTTGGGGTAGGGAGTTTTCTGAAGATTAAATCTTGTTCTACACTAGATTTTGCATGCTTATTATGTGCTCTATGAGTCAGTATCACTACATGTCACTATGAAAATAAAATAAAAATTATATTTGTGAAATAAAACAGGTTTTGTACTTTAACTGAAAAGAATCGATATTTTCACCAACACCCTTCTGCCTATGCCAACTTCAAGGTTTTTCTTTCACAGAAGTGTCAGAGAAAAGCAACAAAAATGATTAGGGGACTAGAGGCTAAACAAACGATGAATGGTTAAGGGAAATAAGTATATCTTATCTAACAAAGAGAAGGACTAGGTGTGACATGATGGCTGTCTTTCAGTTCTTGAGGGGCTGTCACAAAGAAGGGGCCGACCTCTTCTCCAAAGCACCTGGGGCAGGACAAGAACTAACTGATGGAAACTTATCAAAGACAAATTCAACCTGGAACTAAGGAGAAATTTCTTGTCAGTGAGAACAATTAATCAGTGGAACAGCTTACCTTCAGAAGTTGTGGATGCTCCATCAGTGGAGGTTTTCAAAAAGAAATTGGACATCCATTTGTCTGGAATGGTATAGGATCTCCTGCTCGAGCAGAGGGTTGGGCTAGAACAGTGATGGCGAACCTTTTAGAGACCGAGTGCCCAAACTGCAACCCAAAACCCACTTATGCATCGTCGGGTGCCGGGTGGGTGTGGCCCATTGGCTGGGTGTGGCCCATTGGGTGGGCATGGCCCATTGGGTGGGTGTGGCTGCCGTGGTAACGGCAGACTGGGTGGGACTAAAAAGTTCAATCAATTCCAACTTTGCAAGATCTTTTTTTTTCCTGCGAGTTGAAATTGACTGATTGATTGAACCTTTTTTTTTTTTTTTTTTTGCACACGGCAGCGGAGGCCTAAAGTGAAAAGGTTTTATAAAACCCAGATGAAGGCCTAGGACTGGGGCGATGGTGCGCGTGCCCACAGAGAGGGCTCTGAGTGCCGCCTCTAGCACCCGTGCCATAGGTTTGTCACCACAAAGGGCTAGAAGACCTTTAAGATCCCTTCCAACTCTTGTTAGTCTATATTCTGTTTGCTGATTAATTCAGCATCATTTCCTGTGTAACAAGCAAATATCTCTCTCTGGAATGGCTGCCTTGCTATAGTTTATTTTAAATAAGACTCCGTTGCTAAGTTTAATGAAACAGTAGCACCATTTTCTTATTGCACGATTCCACAGTAGTCGATTTCCGTATTATGTAGTTGCATTATAGCATCAATAAGCATGATCAGAGGGAACTGGGTGGGGATCTCCTAGTTATGGGTCTTATGGGATTAGCATACTGGCTGGGGAATTCTGGGAGTTGAAGTCCACACGTCTTAATGGTCCCAACTTTGAAAAAGTTGGTGTACAGGGGAGTGGCTCCCACTTTGTTAGGTATTTCCATGCATGTTACATCTCTACAGGGGTCTGGCCGGGACTACTTAGATCTTGCTAATTCAGATTCTATTTTACAGTCTCAATATTTAGAGAGAGGAATGTGTCAATTCTTGCCAGTCTCAATTAGGCCTGAAAGATAGCATGTACAGTAGTCCTTGGCTTATGACCACAGTCGGGACCAGAATTTCCATTGCTAAGCAAGGTGAGTTGCACCTAATTTTACAACCATTTTTTGCCATGGTGGTTAAGTGAATCGCTGCAATTGTTAAGCAAATCTGGCTTCCCCGATTAACTTTGCCAATCAGAAGCCACCTGGGAAGGTTGCAAATGGCAATCACATAACCCTGGGACACTCCAACCGTTGTAAATCTATGCCAGTTACCAAGCAACCAAATTCTGATCTGTCTATAGGGATGCTGCAAGTCATAGGTGTGAGGAGTGGGTCGTAAATCACTTTTTTCAGTGCTGTTGTAACCTCGGTCACAAACGAATAATTGTAAATCTATCCATCAAGAGGGAATATATTCTGACAATCACAGGAAGAGAGAACTGAAGCTATCAAGGATTAAATCTGGAACTTTCTGCACAAACAGGTTATCTGCCCTGAGCTGTACCCATTCTCTATGTCTGTCTATATATCCTGTATATATATATATATATATATATATATATATACACCCACCATAAAACTGACAATAATGCTGCAAGAAGCTATTTGTTCACTTTTTATTATTATTTTTGTCACTGAAGTCAAAAGACATCAGAATTTTTTATATAGACATAGCTAATGCTGCAAGAAGATATTTGTTCACTTTTTATTATTATTTTTGTCACTGAAGTCAAAAGACATCAGAATTTTTTATATAGACATAGCTCTTTTCTATGTACAATGTATACAGAGACCTTAGATCAGGGGTAGTCAACCTTGGCTCTTTTATGACTCGTGGACTTCAATTCCCAGAATTCCTGAGCCAGCTAAGCTGGCTCAGGAATTCTGGGAGTTGAAGTCCATGAGTCATAAAAGAGCCAAGGTTGACTACCCCTGCCTTAGATCAATGTTTCTCAACCATGGCAACTTGAAGATGTGCGGACTTCAACTCCCAAAATGAAGTCCATACTTCTTCAAGGGGCTAAGGCTGGGAAGCACTGCCTTAGATAACTTATTATTTACACACACACACACCATTTGAAAAGAAGACCAGCTTGTGTGGAAAACTGGAGCAAATTCTTCCTTGGAGTCTCTTGAAGTTCTGCTTGTGGATCCAACTCAAAAAATACTTTGCAAGGAAGCTGTGCTCTGAACACCTGCACAGTTCTTAGATTTACTAATGTTCAGTCTTAAAAGGGTTTTATAATTAATCACCCATTCAAATACGAGCATTTTGGGAGGTAAAAAGGTAGCCTCCTTCGAGCTGAGCTTATCTTGTGACTTCCTAGACAGGTCTAAGACATGACTAATGGTTTCTATCCAAATATTACAAAGATCTGACCCTATTTAACCTCTGAACCCTGATAAAATAAAGCAGATACTATGAGAGAGAGAAAGAGAGGGAGAGAGATTGAGATTTGAGGAGATTTATGTTTCCTTCTGATAGAGAGATGGATCAATCATGGCTTTCAGTCCCAAACCCTTCTGTTAATACCACTGCTCGAACAACTAAAAATATTCATGGGGAAAAATGAAAATGTTAGATTTATGTGAAACTGTGTGCATTTATATGCAACTGTCCTTCACTAGACAAATTTAGAGGCACTAATAATTACGATGCAGGAAGACCAATGTACAAACGAAAAATTAAAATAATCCGTCTGAGTTTTCTTCCTCACAAAAGTCATCCCTGTATTATCATAACCCTGTCCCCATGTAAAATGCCAAAATATGACATATCCAAATTGTTATATATCCATTAAAAATAAGATCTATAAGAAAGACAACTTTCAGTTTCTATGTTATAAATGTGGGAAATGATTATTTTCTAGCTACATAAATTTAATAGATTTCTGAATTGCTTGGTTAGATGACCTAAATACCAATGTTTTTCAATCTCAGTTAAAGTGTAGACTTCAACTCCTAGAAATCCACACACTGCTGGCCAATAGCTTAGTTCTGGATTCTTCTGGGAATGCCTAAAAATACTCCAATTATATTTTTCTATAAGAACAGGAAGGTTACATAATTCACCCATTCAATTCGTACCATAGAAGAATTTTGCAATAAACTTATCTTTTTCACAGATAATATACTAATCTACCAGCTGCATATATGGATATAAAACTTTTAAGTTACTGTTTTGTGAAAAGCCCAGTTAGTAAAAGTCAATACAATCAAACAATCTTAAGATGGGAATCAACTATATTCTTTGTTCTGGATAGAGAAATACAGTTATGAAATGCTGCTAAGCCATTGCTTTCATAAGCATAGACTCACTTGTTGGTTATAGACTATGCTTATGTGATATTTATGAAAAACACATCTGGGCCTCTTCCATTTCGGCCAGGGGTCTTCAAACTTGGCCCTTTTATGACTTGTGGACTTCAACTCCCAGAATTCCTCAGCCAGCATGCCTGGCTGAGGAATTCTGGGAGTTGAAGTCCACAAGTCATAAAAGGACCAAGTTTGAAGACCCCTGATTTAGGCTGATGTTTTGCTCCAGAATTTGTCCCTAATAGAGTTCTTTTAAGACAGCTTTCTTTAAGCATAGTTCTCCCTTTTGGTATACTGGAATGACAACTCCTGATCAAGGCCACACTGGCTACAAACGTTGGGAGTTACCATTTCAACATATTTAAAGGGAATCAGATTCATTCTTTCTCCATTTTTATTATACCTTCCTATAATTATTATGGAAATATTGTCCAAAACCTTGCTTCAATCATTAAACCATTTTGATATGCTGACCGGTTTGGATACCTCACCTCTTATTTGATATCTTCTACTACATTAGTGTTTTTCAACCTTGGAAGTTTAAGATGTGTGAACTTCCAACTCCCAGAATTCCCCAGCCAGCCATGGTGGCTGGGGAATTCTGGGAATTGAAGTCAACATATCTAAAACCTGCCAAGGTTGAGAAACACCGTGATACACTTAGACCTCACTTGATGTTCGCCCAACAATGGATACATCTTCCAATTTTATGCCTTTGTATTAGAAAAGCTTCACTTAGGAATCCTCTTTGTTATAAAATACTGCAAATCACATAATCAAAACTACAGGACTGCTTGCTCACACCAAATTGTGACTCTACTACTTGTTCACTGTGACTCTACTACTTGTTCACTGTGTAGCTTTCTCGCCCGACTGTGAATGTGTTAACTTTCAAGATGTACTCTTTTTCTCCCTTTTTTAAGGTGCAGTGTGTTGAGAAAGTTTCCCTGCTACATATTGTTGAATCTTAACAAGGGGTACAAAAAAGACTTGATTAGCGTATTTTATTCTTTAACCCCTTTTCAATTACATATCTACCCTGTTTGAGTGTAACCTGAGCCAATAGTCAAAAATTCCTATCTTCCCCACAAGAGTTTAAATAGTCCTCTATTAGAGCATCCTAAAATAGTGATATATGGAATATCGTGTCCAAGTTGCAACCTGCTTAGTGAATATATATATGAAATAACATTCTCTTGTAGAGTTAGCTTATGCCTATTGTTGATAGTTGTGCCATCCTCAGTTTCTTGACTTCTGCTGTTTAGAGTTTATGGGCATAAATCTTTTGATGAATCATCATTTTAATTCACATCTCCTTAGGGCTTAACTTTCCAGAAAGGAAAGTATATTGTGCTTATTCAAATCAAGAAAGGATTTCTGAAACTTGACGCAGAAAGGGGAGGAAAAGGGAAAGATATTTCTCCTTACTATGCAAAGATTAATTTATAATTGGAGTCTCTGCATCAGATAGTACAGTAATCTTTACTGCCTGTACGTTTCTGTTTAACCATTTCTCATCTCAGACTGTAAGCAAAATACAGGTTCTTATCAATGTTTGACAGGGTGGTAACAAACAGCATTGTCTATCACACTGAAAAGTTCAAGCAACTCGTGTCTTCCATGATCTACTGGTCTTAGAAAAAGACTACCATAACAGAATTTCTTATTAAGATCCACCACATTGAACAGTCCTGTTTAACATCCTAACTTGGTGGAACTTTTTCATTCTAAGTCAATGTGGCCCACAGCCCATTTCAATTATAGCCTTTATCTCAAATTCCACAAGGGGACCAGCCCACGGGTCTCCTTTTCATAGACATCTGGGATCAACCCAATGGGGGATGGCACCATCTTGACGGTGTTCTTGCCAAACAACTTGCGTTCATATTCAATGAGCTGTCTCCAGAAGCCTACATTGGGCCTTACAACCGGTCGCCTGCTCTTCACCCACTCGTGAGCATCCAGGAGGCTCAACCGATGATATTTCATTAGGTAAGCAATACAGAGGGAGGCAGACCTGCTGACACCTGCCACGCAGTGAACTAGAGTTCTTCCATTCTTCTTCCCTGTCTGGTGTATCCTATCAGCCACGGAGTCAAAGTACAAGGAGAGTGGAGCATGGGGAAGGTCCGGAACAGGCACTTTCACATAGTCAATGTCTGGCCAGTTGGCGTTGGGGATTTCCATGGTAGCGTTTACTATGCAGCTCACCGCCCGGGAATACACCATGTGTCTATTTGATGCAGCATTGCCAGAGCAGAGATAGAGACAAGGAGAGATTTGAGCAATGCCTCCCAAGACCGACAATGTGTTCCCAGCAGCAGGAGATGGCTTCGCCACCGAAGTGGGCGGAGAACGGCGAAAGAACCCATGGTTCCGGAAATTCATGGTGGATGGTTCAGCATACATAACAACTAAGGGGGGGGAGGAGAGAGAGAGAGAGAAAAGAAGCAAAGTATTAAGAATTGGTACAATTTAACAGTTAAAGGTTAATATTTCTCATGCCTTAAACTTGACCTGCCCCACAAATGCAAAACTTTAACTCTCTTTTTTATTCTAACAAATTGTTTTGCTGTTGCTTCTAGCAAGAGAGGAGCATGGGACCTGCAGGGATACAGAATGAGGTAGGGGAGAGAGTTAGAAATAGATTTTGGAGCCAACAAAATCAATGGATGAATCAGCTGCAGTCAGCAAATGATATGATGAAGCAGAACAAAACTGGCAGAGGAAGAAGGAACAGACAGGAATAAGTACAAGAAGGCCTGAAATAAGGGTGGTCAACCCAATCATCCGCAAGTTCAACTTCTCCACAAAGCCAAATAGTTCCCCATATCCTACCTCAGTCATTCCCCTGGAGCTCTTTCTGTTGACATCCAGAGGGGACCCCTGCTTCTTAGACTAGACAGGGAGGGAAGGGGAGGGGAGGGGGAGGAAGGAACTGGAAACTATGATGCTGCAGGAATAATGCGCGGGGAGGGGGGATGATGGAGATGATGGGAAAATGGAGGAATGGGGGAGGGAGAAGACAGCCTCTTAAAGGGGCAGTGGACTCTCTCCTATCCCTAGGATTCTCCCCAGCCTGGACTGTTAATGCGCATTTCTCAGCCACCTCTGTCACCCCTCCCACTTTCACCATCACAGCCCTGGGCTCAAAAATCAGGGTGGGGAAAGTTCTGAGGCTAAATTGTGACTCATACTCCCCCAAGATTGGTGCAAAGAGAGAGAGGCAGTTTTGGCACCAGCTGTTCTCACCTTTTACTAGGAGAAAAGCCCAGTTTGCTTTTAACTGTTCCCTATAGATTTTGCTTTCCTGCCCCAATTGTCAACTAAGGATCTAAAGTAAAAACAAAAGCAAAAAGCCCTCCCTTTCCTAAAAGGAAGATCAGGATTTCTACTGCAATCTGGTGTGCTGGTAGGACATGGATGATGCCCCTGAATGTCCCAAAATCTTGCATGTTTAACAATATGGTGCTACTTAGAATTCTTTATGAGGAGCCCTTGGTGCTGAGCTTGCCTGTTTTCTTGCAGACGTTTCATTACCCCAACTAGGTAACATGATCAGGACTAGCACCTAGTTAGGGTAATGAAACGTCTGCAAGAAAACAGGCAGGCTCAGAAAGCACCAAGGACCCCTCATTTCAACCCTGAGCTTTATATAAGAATATAATATAGGATATAATGCAGCAAGCCAATTTGTCCTCCCATTCACCTTGAAACTTATACCTTGCACCCTAACCCCACAGCCCAAATTCTGACCAAAAAATAGACTCCCCTTTTCATTTCAGGTATGCTTGCATTTCGGGTAGAATAAGGGTGATCTAATAAATATGCTGCTTTTAAAATTCCACTTCCAGTATGACTTACATAGTTTTCCCTATCTAGTTTTGCCTCCTAGTTTCAGCTATTAAAAGTCCTGTCTGCAGACACTCTGAGTATTCTGATTTCAGCTGCCAGCTATATTCCTTCATCTTCCATTTCCCATAAAACATTTTAGTTTCAAACTTTCTTCCCCACAGACACACCTATGATGCTGAATCATCTAGTTTTCAAACTTTAAAAGATGCAGACCGTATTCATTTGTATCTACATACTTGATTTTAACTCCTGAGTTATACATGATTTCCCCTACATATAGCTATCCCTGCGATGTTGGGCAAATGATAAACATTATAAGAAATAAAACAAAATACATTTAAGCTTGCCCAATGTCAACTGCCCATCTCTTTCAGCTCTGTGCTCTAGATGCCAGTTTGAGAACACAACCTCACCTCCATAGAAGCTTGCCAAAATCCATCTCCTTTATCACAACTTTTTGAGTAGTCATTCCAACTCCATTTTGACTTTTGCCCAGTCACAACTCCACTTCCCTTCCATCCCTCTCAAAAGGCACTGATCTTTGTATCTGGCTTCAGTTCTGAGCTCTCTTTAATAGCCCTTAAATAATGCTTCATCTACAATTCTCCTTCCTTCAGAACTCATCCACTCAAGATTTAGCTGAGTTGTGCTACTGTCATGGTCCCTAATAGCAACTGAGCAATTCTTTGCTCATATTTTGTACAGTACATGGTCCACAAGTCTTGCAAAGGCATGGTAGCTACTTTAGTTGACTCACAATTTTAAAACAAGCTAACCGCAACATATTTATTAAATTTATGTGATATCCATTTATATAAATATAAACATATATAAATATGATGGCATGCATCCTTCTTCTTAGTCTTTCTCTGCATTTGAGGGCAGCTCACTCTCTCTCACACACACACACCCCAATTCCTTCACTGGATGTTCTTCGGTCTCAAAGGACCTCCCACTCCCAAATATTCAATTCCTCATCCCTCCTCGTGTCCTCTTCTCCTCCCCAAGGCCCCACCTTAGAAACAATTATTTCTGAATTTACAAAAACAGCAATGCCAACTCCAGTTAATCCTTGATGCCCAGTTTTGCTGGAGAAAGATGAGAAACATTACCAGTCAGTGCTGTTTTTCAACGGAGACTTTCAGGACAGTTTTCCCCCCAACTCTCCTCTGTCAAGAAATCTGCTTTCTCCCTCGGGGAAGAAGGCTGAGGGTTTCTCCGTTCCAAGATGCGCTTGCCTTTTCTTCCTCCTCTCCTCCTTCCAAATAGCCCACTCTTTATAAGCGGCGTCTGTACAATTTAATCAATATAATAAATCTCTTCTCTTCCGTCCTTCTGGCCCAGCTCCTCTCCTTCCCGCAGGATTCTCCAGCCTTCCTCTTTTCTGGGTGGGGAACTGGAATTTCCTTCCTTGACTCCCCCCCACCCGAGCCTTGCCTATATACCGCCCCTGCTGCCCCCCTCCTCGGCTGGACCACTCGAGCGTTGGAGGCAACAAAAGGTTGCCATGGCGACGGGCTGCGGAGGAGGCTGCTGTCGTCAGCACCCGTGACACAAGCGAGAGCTCGCGGAGGCGGCGGCGGCGGCAGCGGAGGTGACCGCGCAGGCGGGACTGAAAAAAGCCCACGGATTTCCCCCTCCCTCCTCGGCTTCCGGCCCAGATTCTCCGCCTCCCCCGGATGCAAAAAAAAAAAAAAAAAAAANGGGGGGGGGGGGGGTGACACCCACATCCTGCCCTCTGCAATTGATTTTCTGTTTTGTACGACATAGGGTAGCCTAGCCTGTACCGGGGCTTTTCCCAGACCGCAGTCCTGCTGCAGCTCTCCTGCGCAAACACCCGCTGGCAGGATGGACAACGTTTAATTGATCCTTAGCTTTGCATGGCCAACCTCGTTTTAGGCCAGCACGTTGTGCGAATCCCCCAAAGTAAGGAAACCACGATTCTGCCCCTCCCCTGAATGTAGTTTCTGTGCAATCTTCTTTGGGGGCACCTCACTCCCCCCAAAAGTTTCTCTTTTGCCCCCCTGCCCTGCTGGCAGTGATCACCTCACCCAGCCCTCCCTTTTTGATCCCACATATCTCACACCAGGAAGGTGCAAGTAACAGTTATGAGTCATCCTAAAGGCAATCCTTGGAGCAGTGTTTTTCAGCGTTGGCAACTTGAAGATGTATGGACTTCAACTCCCAGAATCCTTGGCTGGGGAATTCTGGGAGTTTAAATCTACACATCTTCAAGTTGTCAAGTTGAAAAACACTGCCCTGAAGGATGGTGAACCAATCTAACACCAACACTATCCAAGAGGCCCTTCCCAACTCAATGTCTTCTGACTGAGTTGGATTTCAGCTCCCATAATACCTAGCTCATATGCAATGGGAGTGAAAAGCTAACAGGTTTAGAATGTAGGCCTCGAAATGAAAGTTGATTCTGGATGAATGTGGATGTTATTTCTAAATAATAACTAATCCTTGGAAGGGAAATCACAGGATTATAAACTACAATAGGAAGTAAGGTGGCTGGGAAATTCTGGGAGCTGAAGTTCACACATCCTCAACCTGCCAAGATTAAAAAAAACACTCCCTTAACCACTGTTCTACAAATAAAGATAGGACCTAGAGCAGGCTCTGGAATTCTGGGAGTTGAAGTTCGCCCATCTTAAATTGCCACAGTTGAGAAACACTTATCTACAGGAAACTTATTGTGAGAATTGCCCATTTTTAAAAACATACTTAACTGTATATACAGAGTTTAAAGCAGCAAAGGCTGAGGAGGGGAATTCAGTTGTTCTAAGCCCTAAAGTTTATTTTATCATAAACCATAAATTCATTTTTCATGGAAGAAAAAAATGACAGTTTAATGGAACCTCCAGGTTTAGAAGCAGTTCCAGATAGCTTACTGTACCTTGCTTGAGGGCTTGGAAGAGGCAAATGTTGTGCTGTCTTTACAGGAAACAGGAGGCTGGACCTCAGTTTGTGAACTAGTTCTTGTGTAGATTTCTTGTTTAAGTTCTGCTAGGTTTCTGTCTCTAAGCTCCACCTTCTCTGAGCAAACTTTGTAATTACTGTGTAAATACTCTGAACTGCAAAAGCAGCTGCAATTGAGCTATTCTAATTGCAGCTCTATCGACATATAGAAATACTGTATGGTAGAACTGGAGTCAGAATAGCTTGCCTGCATTTTTGTTTTCCTTTCAAAAATCTTAAAATTTGCCTGGTGAGTTTCCATGAATACAAAGTCATATGTTAATAATTAAGATGGGTTTTTCTTTTGCTTATTACGGTAAGCATAACTCAGCACAGCACCTCTTTCCTCCCACTTCTTACATGAAGAAATTTTACTGTATTTTACAGATCATAGGTCCCCTCCCCTTAAAATATTAAAGATCGCTGCTGTATTTACTGGGATAAACTGCCTCCTTGCAAATAATATGTAAAATGCTGCCATGAGAAGGCTTTAAAATCAGTGGTTCTCAACCTTTTTAATGCCGCGACCCCCAACCGGTCGTAAGTCGAGGACTAAACCGGTCATAAGTCGAGGACTACCCAACCGGTCGTAAGTCGAGGACTTTCCCTGCCCGGGAGCGCCGCGCATGCGTGGTTCCGCCCCCTGCGCCGGCCGAGGCGTAGCTGGCAAGCGGCAGAGACGGAGCAGGCCGACCACCAGCTGGCCCAGCCCAAGGGAGGTAAGGCACCCGCCGGAAAAGGGGAAAAAAATGGTGGACAAAAAAAATGGCGGACAGCCTTGCTTGGCGACCCCCGTGAAATGGTCGATCGGCCCCAAATGGGGTCCCGACCCACAGGTTGAGAACCACTGCTTTAAAATGTTGCTCGTGTAAGACTGAGTAAATTGATTCGCTGTAGGGACAAAGAATTACTATAATTATTTAATGCAATGATACAGTACCAGTATTGTATTTCAAAGAATAAAATAAAAAGGTATTAAACTGAGGACTCACAAGGGTAGGATAATCAAAAAGTGGGAGGGGGCTGGCTTGCTAAGATGATGATGGAATAGAATATATTTGGATAGCATGAATTTTTGTTTAATCAATAAACCACATTTGCATAGATACACAAGATGCTCAACTACTTCAAGACAAATCACATAACAGTTTATTGCCATGTGTGAATATAGCCAGACAACTTTTTGTAGTGTGATGTGTCAGGGTTGCATCCACAGGAATGAAGAAGAGTGGGGAATCTCCCTTAAAAATAAACGCATGAAGTCAGTTGTTGGAAACTTATTTTTAACAACATTTTGCCTGATGAAAAGATCTAGGGCAGTGATGGTGAACCTTTTAGAGACCGAGTGCCCAAACTGCAACCCAAAACCCACTTATTTGTCACTGAGTGCCAGGTGGGTGTGGCCCACTGGGTGGGCATGACTGGTGGTCATGGCAGAATGGGTGGGTGTGGCCAAGGTGGGCATGATCACCTCAATGTTGCTCATAGGGAGGGATGCATGTGGGAGCAGGGTTGGGGGAGATCCAGGGGGTCTCTGGCAGGTGGGGCGGTGGGCAGAAGGCTTGTCCTGCGGGGTGAGACGAGGCAAGGCGAGGCAGGGCGGGGGTGCCATTGTCTCAGGGCAAGGCGAGGCAGGGGCCGGGGCGACTGCTGCCTGACGCCATCGGCCCCCGCACACAGAGGCCAGTGAGCGCATGGGTGCTGGGATGCATCAGGCCATGTGGGACCTCGGCAAGTTAGCAGGCGGCTGGTTGAAGAGGGACAGTTGCCATCTCTGGGGCATGGCGTTCGTGCACACAGAGAGGGCTCTGAGTGCCGCCTCTGGCACGCGTGCCATAGGTCGAGACCACTGATCTAGGGGGCTCAAAATGTATTCCATTAAGATCTTCCCTTAATACGGTTCTGGAGATTTTTCTGATGACCTACAACAGTATTTCTCAGCATGCTGGCTGGGGAATTCTGGCAGTTGAAGTCCACACATCTTCAAGCTGCCAAGGTTGAGAAACACTGATGTTCTGATCCAGAACTAAAATGCTTTGCAATTCCAGATCATACAGATAACTAAATAAAGATGATTGTAAAACAGACATTTATTCAGAAAGAAATACTTGCAGTTATGTTTGTTTCTTCTGGATATTGTACATCTGTTCATCCTTATAGGTAAAAAATCAATACTTCCTTCATACCAACATCTAACGTGGAATGGGACCATCTGAGTCCTGCAGTGGCCCCATGCTTATCTCAGATAAAGAACATTCCAAACTGACCCGTAGCCAGTTAACTGACCTGTTAACATATTAACTGAATAGCTGAAACTATATTACCCATAAGCCATCCCTTAAGGAGACAGCGCTTAACCCAATAAATGCCAAACATTCTAATATGCAGATCTATCTAACTCAGGGCTTTTCAACCAGTGGTACGGGTACCACCTGTGGTACACTGGCACCTGGCAGGTGGTACTCAACCATCTTAGAAAAGTAGCGGGGGAGGGGAATGAGCTGAACCGGTGGCAGCACCGCACAGGCCTGAGCAAGAGATGGCTGGAGCTGCAGGGCTGTCAGGGCTCAGTGGAAGCGCCAGGATCAGCGCTTGTTCGGGACTGTCAGGGCTCAGTGGAAGCGCCAGGATCAGCACCAGGCTCCAGCTGGAGCTCAGCGCTGATCCTGGCACTTCTGTTGAGCCCAGAAGAAGCGCCGATCAGCTGGAATGTTGCAGTATCTCCAGGGTCTTGTGATTTACATTCAGATGCTTGGCAACTGATTCATATTTATGACGGTCAAAGTGTCCCAGAGTCATGTGAAGTGACCAAAACCTGCTGCAACCACCCAGCAGACGGGGGGAATAAAAACCAAACACCCCCCACTCCCGCTGTCAATCCTCAACAGAAATGCTCACAACAATAAAAACCTCGGACAGGAGGAAGAGCGCAGCCAGGTGGGCAGGCAGGTGTCTTGCTCGACTGTGGCTTGGGGGGCACTTTTTTCAGTGCCATTGTAACTTCAAACAGTCACTAAGCGAACTGTTGTAAGTCGAGGACTACCTGCACTTTATTACTTTTTTCCTTTTTGGGGGGGGTGTCATCAAGTTTTTGACAACTTGCTGGGTGACTGGTGGTACTCGGATATTGCCATATCCTAAAAGTGGTACAATGGGTGAAAAGGTTGAAAAGCCCTGATCTAACTGATGGGTCCAGAACACCCCCCGCTTGGAAATATAAATTTTCACTACTAACTAACTGAAATAAGCAAAAAAACGTAGCATTAAGCATGCAATTCTCATGGCTAAC